AGAAAACCAGTCTGAGTGGTAGGTGTGCTTATTGCTACTGGGAGTCATTATTTCTAGGCCTTTTTAGGGAACGGAGCTAGTAAATATATTTTTGAGGAACTATGAATTCCCAGAGTAGATGATTTCCCCATGGACCAGCTTGGAGCCTGGAGTTTTCGATGTGACCAGCAGCAGCCAAGAAAGAACTTATTCCTAGAAGTGCCCAGGACCAGAGAGCTTCACCTGGTGAGCTGTGCAGTCTGTGAATCAGGCCCATGGGCTGCTAAATGGGCTCATCTGGAGTCCAGCTGCCATCGTCCAAGGGGAGGTGTTTAAATGAAAAGGCCAAAGCTTCTAGGACATGACATATTAAGTGACTAAAGCAGATGACAGAGTTGCCTGTGATCTCAGTGCCTGAAGGTCCTTAAGATAGCCTGTTGCCATCCTTCTGTTTTCCTACACACACACACACACACACACACACACACACTCTCACTCACTCACTCACTCACACTCTCAACTCTCACTCCTTACACCCCATGATGGGAACTTTGGCAGCCTTTATCAGCTTCCTTCCCAAAATACTGATGGGATCAGTATTTGATAACTCAAACAAGTAACCCTGAACAAATATCTTGTTTCTTGTTGTAAGGTAAATCCTTAGAAGTATAATTGCTGGCTCAAAATGCTTATGTAGTTTTGTTGAATAGTCAAGTGGCAAATTCTTTTTTTTTTTTATCCTCACCCGAGGACATTTTTCCATTTTCTGTTCAGACAGAGTATGAGGGAGAGAGAGGAAGAGAGAGAGAGAGAATCATCTATGTGAAAGGTACACATCGAGTGGCTGCCACCCGCACGACCCAGCCAGGGCCGGGGACAAACTGCAACCCAGATACTTGCCCTTAGCGGGAACCGAATCCGGGTCTCTGGACAGCAGGCCGACGCTCTAACCACTGAGCCAAACTGGCCAGGGCATCAAGTGGCAAATTCTTTATTAGATAAGGTAGTATAAATGTTCCCAGTCAGTGCTCTGAGTGGTACCACAGATAAGGAGTTTAATCCCCTTGGTGTCTCAGTGACTTTTGCCTCCACTTTTTCTGGCTATGGGTACCTGGGTATAGGATTACTGGGGAGTAGGTGTATGCTCTCTTTCGTAGGCATACCAGTGTTACAAAGTGGATTCCACCTCACCCTAATACAGCAATGTGTGAGAGTTTCAATTTTAACTTATCTGTGGGTGTGTAGAAGTATCTTGCTGCATTTCACTGCTGGGTCGGGTGTGAGCACCTTCTCAGGAACATACCAATTGGATATTCTCTATATGACGTCCCAGGTCAGAGTCTTGTGTGGACATAAAATTCACATATTTAATTTTAATATAGATATTATATATATATATATATATATATATATATATATATATATATCTTTATGCTTGACTTTCTCCTAACTTATGTAGTTGGGATTTTTATGTACGTTTTAGTGAATATAATTTTGAAATATCATTTGCTTTTCTAATTATAAATATTTGCTATAATTGTCTTCCAGTATAGAAATATATAAAAGTCTCCTCAGCCCTTACCCCACTGGCTTAAAGGGTCAACTGGTATGGCATGGAGCCCTGCATTTCTTCATGTGCTTACATGTCATACATTTTCTTTTTCTCCCAGATCAAGTTATGCAGTTTTTCTGTGACTTAACTTTTTCTCTTTTTCCTTTTGCTTAACAATAAGCATATTGTGGACACTTTCCCACATTATTGCATGTAGGCTTATTTCATTCTTTTTTATAGCACACAGGTACCTGTTATAAGACTGACACCATTCATTTAGCCATTGTCATTGCAGTTTTTTATTTTATATTTAGGTTGAGTGGAATCCTTTTAAATTTTGGAAATATGTGGTTTGTGAACTCTTTTTCCCCCCATAAGCTGTGAAAGTGAATTTTCAAATGTCTTGCTGATATGACTGAGTAAAACTGGAATAATTCACCTTCATTAGTAATCAAATAATAAACTGGCTTATTCTGCTTTTACATGGTTTTAAACATAAATAACCTGTTTATTTGTCTTCAGAGCTCAATTTGAAATGTAGTTATTATTTGCTAGCTAAACAGAATACTGATATGTTATATTTTGATTATTCTGACTCTTTTCAAAATAGGGAAAATGAATTTTAGTGGTATACAGTGTGTTTAGGTTCTATTAGAAAAGAGTATTTTATTTTCTATTTAGCTTTTCTCTTCTCAAATGCTTCAGGTCTATGAAGCAATCGATACCAGAGATGGAGAATCCTGTGCAGAGCTGGTGTCTTTCAAGCATCCTCATGTTGCCAACCCACGGCTTCAAGTAAGTTAAAGAACTAAGCACAGAGAGAGGACTACAGGGTAACTGGCTTCCTAAGACAAGTTTAGAGTTTGAGCTTATCTATTGGCTGCATATAGGCTGTACCTCAGACCATGTAAACAAGTTTCTGGAGTAGAAACAGGCTTTTTTTTTTTTTTTCTTCTTTTTAACTTTAGAGTTTCCTAGGTTGTTCTAATGTGCAGAACACATTGAACGTTATTGCTCTAAATAGAAACTAGTGCCAGAGACTTGATGAGATTCAAATTCAACTTGCTAGGTAGATAGCTGGTGCCGTGTGCCTCCTATTTTATACCAGGGGCACTCACTGTTTGCCTCTTTGTAGTCTAAGGCTGATTTCTTCAATATAAAATTCCCCATTAACCTTCCATCTGAAGGCTCCATTCATTGGTGACCATTGTCCAAATCAATTATTTCATTAGGGACTGTAGAATGGTGATTTTTCTGATGTCATTTTTTCCTCCCATAATTACATGTATATTGTATCAGTATAAGAGCAGACTCATTGATTCCTTTTTGAAAAATTCCATGCGCTTTATAATCCATTTTAATGCTTATATTATCTTAAATTTGGCCATTGAGAGTAAATAAAGAGTTAGAAGTAAATGTCAGCTAGTCTAGAACAGTACAGAGAAATGGTGGTTCTATCACCAGGAAGCTGAGAAGGAGTGATTTCTAATATAACATCTTCTCTAACTCATTAGACCTTATTTATGTAAGTATTATACACCTTGTTTATTATGCCTTATTTATTAAGCACATAGTAGCTGCTTACTAAATATTTCTTGGCTAACTGGGAAGAAATATTAAGATATGTATGAAACATTAAAATATGTATGAAAATACCTAGACTATTTCCTAGCCTGTGGTAGACAAAGCATTGAATTAATCTAGTGCTTTGTACATAGCTGACGCTTAGTAAATATTTGTTGAAATAGGGAACCTTTTATTTAGAAGTGCTAAAGTATAAAGTTTTACTGTGAACTGTAAAATGTAAATTTTTTGGAAACAGGTTTGTCTAAATCTGTGCATGTTGTATTCTTTCTATGCTTGTTAACTTTATTTTTGCCATTTTTCTTCTTATTTAATTGAGTTGGCCTCTCCGGAAGAGAAGTGTCAACAAGTTTTGGAACCCCCTTATGACGAAATGTTTGCAGCTCATTTAAGGTAAAGAAGTAAAACAAGCAGATCTTGGAATTGCTGAATTGACTAGGGAGTTTATTTAACATCATCTAATGCTTGAAACAATGAATAGTTACTTTGAAAAAGTAGAAAAGTGTGTTTGCAGTTTTACTTCGGTAAAGCCTGTGAAAATTTTATGAAGTTTAAAAAATTTTTTAATAAACTTTTTTTTCATTTCAATGATTATGTGTCTTTTAAAAAGTTAAAATTATATTGTGATCATGTATCTTTATGTGTCTGTTGTGTGATACTATTAAAAAAATCATTTGTTGCTCTGGCCAATTTGGCTTAGCGGTTAGAGTGTTGGCCCACGGACCAAAGAGTCATGGGTTCGATTCTGGTCAAGGGCACATACCTCAGTTCTGGTTCAGTCCCTGGCCCTGGTCAGGGTTGTGTGGGAGGCAGCCAGTCAGTGTGTCTCTTTCACATCGATGTTTCTCTCTCCCCGCCCCTTTCCTCCTTCCCACTCTATCTGAAGATGAATGGGAAAATGTCCTTGGGTGAGGATTTAAAAAAAAAAATTATTTGTTACTCATTATATTGACTGTATAAGGATCTTTTATTTAATAGGATATAGAGCCCACCCTCTTTGCCTTGTTGAGAAAGAAGCTGCAGCTGAACAAAGCAAATGAATACTGCTTTTTATTTACATTTTGCTTCATCTATGTTTATCTTTAAACCATCAATTTAAGCAAAGCTTTATGTCCTTAAAGCATGTGGTGTTTGCCTTCCTGCCTGCAATGCTTCCAGTGTTTCAGCGCAGGCTGGGGGGGGGGGGGGACAGCAAGGTGGGGTAGCCCTATGAGATCTTTGGAAAAGTTGGGGTGCCACTGTGTTCTTTGTAGTGTAAGGTACCCTGCAGTTTCCTAGCTCTGTGCAATGTGCCATGAGATTGTTTTGTTAATGAACTAATACTGTCTCTACCCAGCTGGACATTTAATTAGAGGCTCATCACTTACTGAAGTGCTATACTGTATTGTCAGTGCATGTTACTAATAAAATCTGCTGGCAACTAGGTTTTTTTTCTGGGACTTGAAAGAATAGTCTCAAAACTTAATGTGGCCCTGGCCGGTTTGGCTCAGCGGTTGGAGCGTCGGCCTGCGGACCAGAGAGTCCCGGGTTCGGTGTCTGCTAGGGACACGTACCAAAAACACCCCAAAAACTTAATGTGGAATTCCTTAATATACCAAACCATTTTACTTCAAATTGTTATTTTTGTGTTTCTTCAACTTATGTAGCCTGCCAAGCAGGAGGTTCAGCTTTCACCCTAGGATCAGTTGAGAACGAGGGTGTTTATGATGGAAGGTGTGTGGTCTACCTAGTGCACTTCTAGGTATTCATCCTATAAATGTGCTTTCTGCTGCCTCAGTCTCCAATGTTTCTTTTTCAGGTGCACTTACGCAGTGGGGAACCATGACTTCATAGAGGCATACAAATGCCAGACTGTCATCGTACAATATCTTTTGTTATTTGTTAACTGTACAATTTATACCAGATACAGTAGATTATTTAGGGTTTAAGATTTTCAGACTTTGGGATAATTTTGTTTATCCCTATAATTAGGAAGGAATTAAAACCTTGAAAGTGAACTAGTTTACCTATTTTACTTGGGTACTTAAATTTAGCATAGATCTTAAACCTGTCATCTAGTTAATTTTATATAGTAAGGGTATGGTTATAATTAAGGGTTTTATTTGATTTCAGTGTGAAGAATAATATTTTGTTGCCACCGAGGCATTAAGTATAGTTACAGGGACTGGTTCTGTTTCCTTTATGGAATACTGTATCAGAATGCCAAAATTCAGGCATAGATGGACAAGAGTGGACTCCATACACATTGTCATTTAATTGTGGTCAATAAAGACCTGAATCAAACCAATTTCTGATTCAAATCATTTAAGTGATAGCTTATAGTTAATCCCCTAGCAGGGATGGGGGACCTTTTTTCTGCTAAGGGCCATTTGGATATTTATAACATTCAGGGGCCATACAAAAGTATCAACTTAAAAATTAGCCTGCTATATTTGGTCAGGCTAATTTGGTGAGGCATGTGAAGTTAGCTGGTATTGATTGGGCTTGACGTTCCTCCACCCTGCACCTAATCAGTGAGTGTCCTAGTATTTATATGTATCTCTAGACTCAGTTTGCTTATTTTTTTAATCATCTTGTTTAAATATATACAGAAGAGAGTTGGTTGCTAAATAATAGGTCTTGTTTGAATTCAGAAATTCTATAATCAATGAACTAAACATTATGGATTCCACAGCCCATTACATATAACTTGTGATCATCTAGGCTCGTAGAAACCAAATAAAGGGTTTGCGATTGCTGATTTGAAAACATCTTGTACCCTGGCCAGTGTGGCTCACTTGGTTGAGCGTCATCCTATGCACCAAGAGGCCACCAGTTCTATTCCCAGTCAGGGCATGTGCTGGGGTTGGTTTCAGGCTCAATTCCCAGCAAGGGGTGTGCAGGAGACAGTCGATCCATGTTTCTCTCTCTCATCAATGTGTTTCTTTCTCCCTCTAAAATCAATAATAATTTGTAAAGTTTTGTAACGAGTCTTTGGAGAAAGTATATATGAAATAAATATATTTAGTATAATTGTACCTTATGATACTTAGATATTTTTAAGTGAGTTTATATACTTTTTTATTCTGTGAGTAAACTTAAATGGTGAGCTATCCCCCTTAAAGTTTAGAGTTCTTATTCTTTATTCTTATTATTTGTATCATGATTTGAATTTTATATGTTATACCTTAATATAGTACATCATTCCTGCGGACATTTCAGGCCCACAAAGAAGAAAACTGGTAAGTATGAACAAAAGCAACTAGAAATTAACCGTTGTTTTTTTTTTTCTTTTTTTTTAGCAGAAGCTTTAAAAAAATGAATCTAGTTAAATATGTACTATGTTTTCTATGTAGACATTTAATATGTGTTCATGTAATAATATCAACATGGATAATGGAATTTTAATAGTCAGTGTAAACTTAAATGCAGATCAGCCAGATTGTTTACAATGTGTTTATATAAACATGAAATATTTTTATTTCAGCCCTTTCATGTCCCCAAATATTTATTACACACAATTTTTTTTCCCCTTCAGTTGTCACTTTTGAACTTAACTTTTGGTTTTAAACTTGGACAAAAGAGGTAGATCACTATAGTTCATTTAGGGTGATATACATAATAATTGGGTTATTTTAAATTGCCAAACAAATTCTTAATTTTATGATTTATTAACAAGCTGTAGATAAACACTGAAATTTTGTTTATGTTGGAAAAAATGGAGGAAAAATAAAAGAAAACATCCCCTTCTTTTTTTTTTTTTTTTTTTTTTTATCCTCACCCGAGGATATTTTTCCATCTTTTGTACAGATAGAGTGGGAGGGAGAGAGAGGAAGGGAGAGAGAGAGAGAAACATCGATGTGAAGGGACACATCGAGTGGCTGCCACCCACACGACCAACCAGGGCCGGGGACAAACTGCAACCAAAGTACGTGCCCATAGCGGGAACCGAACCCGGGTCTCTCCAGACCGCAGGCCGACGCTCTAACCGCTGAGCCAAACTGGCCAGGACAAAATATCCCCTTCTTAAGTGAAGGCTTATTTTACCCATGAAAGGAAGACCAATACTGCTAGCTAGATTTTTTTAAGTTGTTTTATGACATTTGTCTATTACAAACTCTGGTTGCTGTTAGGAAATCTCACTAAACCACATCTTGTTTTAATGAAGCTGTTTGGATAATTGTGGGGAGTTGAGGTGAAGGAGGAAGTCCTGGGAACAGTGTGAGATGGTGCCTCAGGCTGAGGAACTTTAGATAGACCAGGATCTAGGCCTCTGAGGAGGGTCAGGGTGTTAGGTGTGGAGAACTTCAGTGTATGGCCTCGGTTGATCAGGAAGCCCAAGGGCTGCAGACTGCCCTGATGGAAGGTGAGGAAAGTAACAGCAGCCATTGGATTCTTGGAACAGTGCTGACTTCCAGTCTGGATAATAGCCCTGCGTTGTGTTGGTGTCATTCCCACCTCTGGTAACAGACTCTCTGACCTCACAGCCTCTTCAAACATACCTGCTTTTCTTGCCCCTGTAGGGCTCTGCCCGTCATGTATGCAGTAGCACTTGACCTTCGAGTATTTGCCAATAATGTAAGTTCAATTTTTATTGTTTTACAATCCATACTTGGTATCTGTCTGCTGCTATTTTCATGTCATTCTTTATAGAAGTTTTGAGACATGAGTGGGGGTTGGGATATAGCTGGTGTAGAGAGCAAAAGAACAGGGGTTGTCTTAACTATTCTTTTTGGGTTTATGTGAACAGATTTAAATAAACATTGGTTTTCATAGTATAGATATAGAGGTGGTTGTTTCTGTATATGGTTAGTCATTTATGGCATGCAATATTTTTTTTAAAGGGGATGGAGCAATAATAGAGGGGCAATTCTGCATTCTCTTTTACTGTTAAGATGTGGCCTGTCCTCTGTCTTAAAGAATTCCAACTTAATGATATTTCAACTGTTGGATTGAGGCAATTGTTAAGGGTTTCTCTGGTATGAGGGGGTAAAGATCCTGGGTTTTATAGACTTGATTTCCCATTGGGGATCAGCATAAGCCATTTTGGAGCAGCATTTCTCAACTTTTTGGTCCTAAGACTCCTTTACAGTTTTAAAAATTATTTATGATTTCCGACTGGACAAGATGGAGTAGGCACATTGTTCCCATTTCTCTAAAACCCGGGAACACCAGCAGGCAGAGAGGAAGAAGCAAGGCAGCCTACTAAGACAGACCTCTGTGACAGTTTCTGCTGCACTCCACACAAAATCTGTAGGTCTCCACCTGTTCTTAGTAAAGCCCATGGGGAGCCAGATTCCCATCCCACCCAGTGCCAAAGAGGTGGAGCCTGTTTACCCACTAGCATAATGTCAGCAGAGGCCTGAAACAAGGCAAATAAGGTCCATAGTCTCCTAAGGTAATACTATCCCAAATGTCCAGGATATAATTGAAAATCACCTACCATACCAAGAATCAGGAAAATCTTAGCCTTTTGAGATACTGAATGAGTAGTGACAATCAACAAACAACCAACACTGAGATGACACAATGTTAGAACTCCCTGGTAAGGATTTTACACCAGCCATCATAATAAAAGCTAAAGGAGCAATTATGAACATGCTTGAAGCAAATGAAAATGTAGACAGTCTCGCTCTGGCTGATTTTGCTCAGTGGTTAGAGCATCGGCTCGCAGACCAGAGAGTCCCAGGTTCAGTACCCGCTAAGGTCACGTACCTTGGTTGCATTTGTCCCCAGCCCCAGTTGGGGCTGTGTGGGTGGTGACCACTCAATGTGTCTCTCTCACATCGATGTTTCTCTCTCTTCCTCCCTCTCTCCCTCCTGCTCTATCTGAAGATAAATGCAAGGGTGTCCTCGGGTGAGGATAAAAATAAAGAAGAACCAAATGGAAATACTAGAACTGAAATTATAGTCACTTAAATATGTGTTGTATCTGTTTATATTTACCATATTAGAAATTTTAACTGGGAACATTTTTAATATTTAAAATAATAAAAACGTTTACATGGTAACATAATTGACTTTTAAATAAAAAAAAAAAAGCTAGCCCTGGCCAGTTTGGCTCAGCGGTTAGAGCGTCGGCCTGCGGTCCTGAGAGACCCGGGTTCGGTTCCCGCTAAGGGCATGTACCTCGGTTGCAGTTTGTCCCCGGCCCTGGTCGGTCGTGCGGGTGGCAGCCACTCGATTTGTCCCTTCACATCGATGTTTCTCTCTCTCTCGTCCTCTCTCTCCCTCCCACTCTACCTGAACAAAAATGGAAAAATGTCCTCGGGTGAGGATAAAAAAAAAAAAAGCTATATTTTCAGAATGAACAAAAAATGTTAAGAAGAATGGCATTTTTTTTACAGTTTAAACTCTTTAATGTCTTGCTTAACAGAAGCCACTCATATTCTCATTTCCACTTTTTCATTCACCCTGTTATAATGTGTTATTTTGGTTGAATACCTGAAGACAGTTGGCCTCACACAAATGTAAATGGAATAGGGAGGAGTATTTTAGTAACCTTTTCTTTTAGCTATACCAAAACTCCCAAAGCTAGTTTTTACAGGTTAGTTGCCTCTTGAAGCTTAGCAGTGGACTTTTTCCACTGTTACACGAGAATCCACTGGTGAGTCATGCACTTCGAATGGATCTTTTACCCTTCCATGATTTTGTAACATAAATTGAACATTTGGAAATTTTTAGTTCACCGGGTTATACAGATGTTCCCAATGTTGATATATTTTATTATATAAAAAGAAACAAAATCAGAAAAACTACATTTGTTAATATCTACAGTGACCTCATCAGAAAAGTCTGGAAATAATGGAAAACTGCCAAGATCACAGTGGTCCATACAAGTTTTCCAAAATTCTTATTTTTTTCTTGAAAGCACAAATATTGTCATTGGCAACAAATACAGTCGTTTATTTGCCTGGAAGTGACAGGCTTCTTTCATTCACTTTCAGTCACACCTGAATTGCCTTGCTTGTCTATCAGTTGTTCCATGGTACAGCTGGCAAGTCCAACAGTACCCAAGTGCTTTTCCTTAAAACCTCCATCATACTTGGGTGTGTGACAGATGTGCTTTGTATATATTTCCCATTTCACCACAAAGAATATTAAAAATGTATGTATTTAAAGACCAAAACTTAATAAGGTTAATATTCACTGCATCATTAAGGACATTTTATTTTTATTTTTTTTATCCTCACCTGAGGACATTCTTGTATTTATCTTCAGATAGAGCAGGTGGGGGAGAGGGAGGAACAGAGAGAGAGAAACATTGATATGTCTCACATCGAGTGGTTGCCACCCACACGACCCCAACCAGGGCTGGGGACAAACTGCAACCGAGGTACTTGCCCTTAGTGGAAACTGAACCTGGGACTCTCTGGTCCACGAGCTGATGCTCTAACTGCTGAACCAAACCGGCCAGGGCCATTAAGGACATTTTAAAATGAAATTAGCGTTACTGGTTTATTGACTGGTGGATAGATGTCTGATGTTAAAACAATCACTACTAGATCAGTTTGGTGCTCCTGGGAAGGCTCCAGTGGTTTCACCTATTATTGTTTCTACACCATTGGTGCAAACGGTACAAATGTCAGTACAATAAAAAGAAATGATGACTTAGTGTTATCGTGAAAATAATTTGACCATGTGAATAATCTGCAAGCATCTTGAAGGGTCCCAGGAATTCATACTTTGAGAACCTGTGATAGGGAGAATATGAGTGGGAGAAAGCTGATTCTTCTTTAATGGAAACTATCCTAAAAGCAAGGAAAGAGTCCAACTTGGTAACGACTTTGATATCTATTGAAAGTGTGTGTTTCAAGGGATTTGACTAGCTGTACATAGGAAATGGGAAGGTCAGTGACTTGGGAACTAAAGGCTTCTTAGTGCAGGGCCACAGGCAGTACGGGCTTAAAAAGTTGGTGGTTCGGCCTGAATTGGTCGAAGAGAGACTTGATTTGTGGAAGAGTTGGATTAAGCTATAATTTCTCAATTTTTAAAAATATCATAATGTAGAGTAGATGATTTCGCCGGAACCTTTTGGGACTTTGACTTTTAGTTGTAGCCATTTTTTTTGCTTCTACCTGCACTGTGATTTTCTTTTTTAATTAAGGAATCTAGCAGATATAAAAAGTAAGTATTTTTATATTCTAGGCAGATCAGCAGTTGGTTAAGAAAGGAAAAAGCAAAGTTGGTGACATGTTGGAAAAAGCAGCTGAATTGTTGATGAGCTGTTTCCGAGTCTGTGCCAGTGACACGTGAGTGAGGTTTTGGAGACCAATGTTATCAGTCTCCTATCATAGCACATTGCCCCTTCCTTCCCTGCCCTTGTCTGTTGTTGACATTTATTTTACTTCTACATATGTGTAACCCCACAATCTTTTTGCTTTAAACAATCAATTGTGTTTTTTTTTCTTTTTTTAAATTTTTATTTATTGATTTTTTCGAGAGAAAAAGAAACATAAATTTGTTGTTCCACTTATTTATGCATTCATGCATTCATTGTTTTTTTTTTTTTGGTTACATATGTTTCTCCTTTTTTTTTTTACCCCACTGGCACCCTCCTCCCCATCCCCCCCCCACCCCATCCCTGGCTTTGTTGTCCATGTCCGTTGGTTTTGTGTACATGCATATAAGTTCTGTGGTTTATCTCTTCCCTTCTTCCAACACCCCCTCTTCCGAGGGTTGTCAGTCTGTACCCTACTTCCATGTTTCTGGGTCTACCCTATTCCTCAGACTGTTATGTTCATTATATTCCATAAATAAGTGAGATCATATGATACTTGTCTTTCTCTGCTTGGATTGTTTCACTTAGGATAATACTTCCCAGGTTCCTCCATGTCACCTCAAAGGATAAGAGATCTTTCTTTCTTACAGCTGCATAGTACTCCATTGTGTATATGTACCACAGCTTTTTTATCCATTCGTCTACTGATGGACATTTGGGCTGTTTCCAGATCTTAGCTGCTATGAACATGGGGGTACATATATTCTTTCTGATTGTTGTTTCAGGCTTCTTAGGGTATATTCCCAGAAGTGGGATCACTGGGTCAAATGGAAGTTCAATTTTTAATTTTTTGAGGTAACACCATATTGTTTTCCATAGTGGCTGCACCAGTCTGCACTCCCACCAGCAGTGTAGTAGAGTCCCCTTTTCTCCACACCCTCGCCAACACTTGTTTGATGATTTGTTGATGGTGGCCATTCTGACAGGTGTGAGGTGATACCTCATTGTTGTTTTAATTTGCATCTCTCTGATGATTAGTGATGTTGAGCATTTCTTCATATGTCTCTTGGCCATTTGTATGTCCTATTTGGAGAGGTGTCTATTTAGGTTCTCTGCCCATTTTTTAATTGGGTTATTTGTCTTTTTTTTGTTGAGTTATATGAGTACTCTATATATTTTGAAAATTAACCCCTTATCTGATGTATCATTGGTGATGATGTTCTCCCATACAGTGGGTTGCCTTTCCATTTTGATGGTTGTTTCTTTTGATTTGCAGAAGCTTTTGAGTTTGATGTAGTCCCATGTGTTCATTTTTTCCTTTGTTTCTGTTGCCTTACGTGATGTATCAGTGAAAATCTGCTGCATATGATTTCCGAAATTTTGTTGCCTCCATTTTCTTCTAGAATTTTTATGGATTCATGGGTCACATTTAAGTCTTTTATCCATTTTGAGTTTATTTTTGTGTATGGTGTAAGTTGATGGTCTAGTTTCATCTTTTTGCATGTAGCTGTCCGATTTTCCCAACACCATTTATTAAAGAGGCTGTCTTTACTCCATTGTATGCTCTTGCCTCCTTTGTCAAATATTAATTTTTTTTTTTTTTTTTTATCCTCACCCGAGGACATTTTTTCATTTTTTGTTCAGGTAGAGTGGGAGAGAGAGAGAGGAACAGAGAGAGAGAGAAACATCGATGTGAAAGGGACACATCGAGTGGCTGCCACCCGCACGACCGACCAGGGCCGGGGACAAACTGCAACCGAGGTACGTGCCCTTAGCGGGAACCGAACCCGGGTCTCTCAGGACCGCAGGCCGACGCTCTAACCGCTGAGCCAAACCGGCCAGGGCTGTCAAATATTAATTTAGCATAGTGTCTTAGGTCCATTTCTAGGTTCTCTATTCTGTTCCGCTGGTCTATATACCTGTTCTTGTGCCAGTACCAGGCTGTTTTGATTACAGTAGCTTTGTAGTATAACCTGATATCTGTTATTATGATCCCACCTACTTTGTCCTTCTTTTTCAAGATTGGTGTGGCTATTCGGGGTCTTTTTTGGTTCCAAAAGAACTTTTGAAGTATTTGTTCTAGTTCTGTGAAATATGGTATTTTGATGGGGATTGCATTGAATCTATAGATTGCTTTGGGTAATATGGACATTTTAATGATGTTAATTCTTCCAATCCATGAACAAGGTATGTGCTTCCATTTTTTTTATATCTTCCTCTATTTCTTTTTTCAATGTCATGTAGTTTTCTGCAAATAGGTCCTTTACTTCTTTGGTTAAATTTATTCCTAGGTATCTTAATTTTTTTGCCACAATAGTAAATTGGATTGTTTTTTCAGTTTCTCTTTCTGTGAGTTCATCATTGGTGTATAAGAATGCTGTCGATTTCTTGACATTCATTTTGTATCCTGCTACTTTGCCAATTTCATTTATTACGTCTGGTAGATTTTTCATGGGGTATTTAGGGTTTTCTATGTATAATATCATGTCATCTGTAAATAATGACAGTTTCACTTTCTCCTTTCCAATTTGGATCCCTTTTATTTTTTCTTCATGTCTGATTGCTGTGGCTAAGACTTCCAGTACTATGTTAAATAAGAGTGGCAAAAGTGGGCATCCCTGTCTTTTTCCTGTTCTTAAGGGAAATATTTTTAGTTTCTGCCTATTGAGCATTATATTGACTGTAAGTCTTTCATATGTGGCCTTTATTATGTCGAGATATAATCCCTCTATTCCCACATTGCTGAGCGTTATCAGAAATGGATGCTGGGCCCTGGCCGGTTTGGCTCAGCGGTTAGAGCGTTGGCCTGCAGTCCGGAGAGACCCGGGTTCGGTTCCCGCTAAGGGCGCGTACCTTGGTTGCGCAGTTTGTCCCCGGCCCTGGTTGGGTCGTGTGGGTGGCAACCACTCGATGTGTCGCTTTCACGTCGATGTTTCTCTCTCTCTCTCTCCCTCTCTATCTGAACGAAATATCGAAAAATGTCCTCGGGTGAGGAAAAAAAAAAAAAAGAAATAGATGCTGGATTTTGTCAAATGCTTTTTCAGCATCTATTGATATAATCATGTGGTTTTTATTCTTCATTTTGTTTATGTGGTGTATCACATTTATTGATTTTCGAATATTGTACCATCCTTGCATTCCTGGGATTAATCCCACTTGGTCATGGTGAATAATTTTTTTGATGTATTGCTGGATCCAATTTGCTAGTATTTTGTTCAGGATTTTGGCGTCAATGTTCATTAGGGATATTGGCCTGTTGTTTTCTTTCTTTGTAGTGTCTTTTTCTGGTTTTGGAATTAGAATTATGCTGGCCCCAAAAAATGAGTCTGGAAGTCTTCCTTCTTCTTGAATTTTTAGAAATAGTTTGAGGAGAATGGGTATTAGTTCTTTTTTAGTGTTCAGTAAAACTCCCCCATGAAGCCATCCGGGCCTGGGCTTTTGTTTGCTGGAGAGTCTTGATTACCTCTTCAATTTCCTTAGTTATTATTGGTGTGTTGAAGTTTTCTATCTCTTTCCGGTCCAGTTTTGGGAGACTGTGTGTTTCTAGAAATTTGTCCGTTTTGCTTAGATTGTCACATTTGTTGCCATATAATTGTTCATAGTAGTTGTTAATGATCTTTTGTATTTCTGTGGTGTCAGTTGTTACTTCTCTTCTTTCATTTCTGATTTTGTGTATTTGGGTTCTCTCTCTTTGTTTCTTGGTAAGTCTAGATAAGGGTCCATCAATCTTGTTTATCTTTTTGAAAAACCAGCTCTTTGTTTCATTGATCCTTTGAATTGTTTTTTGGTCTCTATGTCATTTATTTCTGCTCTGATCTTTACTATTTCCTTTCTTCTACTTGCTCTGGGGTTTTCTTTTTGTTTGCTTTCTAATTTAAATTATGAGGTTAGACAATCAATTAGAAATTTTTCTTGTTTCTTGAGGTAGGCCTGTAGTGCTATGAACTTCCCTCTCAGAACTGCTTTTGCTGCATCCAATAGATTTGGTGTTGTTGTGTGTTCATTTTCATTGGTTTCCCGGAAGTTTTTGATTTCTTCCTTGATCTCCATGGTAACCTATTCATTGTTCAATAACATGCTATTTAGCCTCCATGTGTTCAAATGTCTTTGCATGTTTTTGTTGCAATTGATTTCTACTTTCGTGCCATTGTGATCTGAGAAGATGCTTGATGTGATTTCAATCTTCTCGAACTTGTAGAGATTTAGTTTGTGTCCTATCATGTGGTCTATCTTTGAGAATGTCCCATGTGCACTTGAGAAGAATGTGAATTCTGTAGTTTTGGGGTATAATTCTCTGTAGATATCTATTAAATCCATTTGGTCTAGTGCTTCATTTAGCGTCTCTATTTCCTTGCTAATTTTTTGTCTAGAGGATCTATCCAGTGGTGTCAGCAGGGTGTTGAAGTCCCCTGCCCTGATTGTATTGCTGTTGATTTCTCCTTGGAAGTCCTCCAAAAGATTTTTAATATATTTTTGGTGCTCCTATATTGGGTGCATATATGTTTATCAAGGTTATGTCTTCCTGTTGGATAGAGCTTTTCAATATTATGTAGTGGCCTTCTTTGTCTCTAGTTATGGCCTTCATTTTGAAATCTATTTGATCAGATATGAGTATTGCTACCCCAGCTTTTTTTTTCCTTTCTGTTTTCTTGGAAGATTTTTTTCCATCCCTTCACTTTCAACCTATGTGAGTCTTTTGTTGTGAGGAGGGTTTCTTGTAAACAACATATTGATGAGTCATGCTTTCTTATCCAATCAGCTACTCTGTGTCTTTTTATCAGAGCATTCAGTCCATTTACATTTAAGGTGATTATTGATATTTACTTATTTATTGCCATTTTTGTTTAATTTGGTTATATTTTTCTTCCTATTTCTTCTACTAATAACAGCAGTCCTTTTAACATTTTTTGCAGTGCTGGTTTGGCGCTAATATATTTCCTTAGCCTTTTTTTGTCTGGGAAGCTCTTTATTTGACCTTCTATTTTGAATGACAATCTTGCTGGGTAGAGTAGTCTTGGATTCAGATCCTTG